AGGGAGGGAGGGAGGGAGGGAGGGAGGGAGGGAGGAAGGAAGGAAGGAAGGAAGGAAGGAAGGAAGGAAGGAAGGAAGGAAGGAAGGAAGGAAGGAAGGAAAAGAAAGATATGACAGCACGTACATATTAAGGGAGCCAGCAAGGATACCTCAATGTCTATAAATGGAATTGTTAATGTTTTAAGAAACTAATAAAAATATGACAATAATGCAATGGCTACACCGAGGAGACACATGCACACACAGGACGGTCCATCTCCACCATCCGAATCTGTGAGAAGCATCTGATGACTGATTGTCAAACTGGAGACCAATGAAATTATTCTGCAGTTTCTCGAGTGATTTTGTTTCCTGCCACATCGTCTATTACAACGTCATTATTGAAGAAGGACACAAAAACTAAGCTCAGAAATCTGGAGATGGCTAAGCTACTAAAGGAGACACCTGGATGGAGAAACCATGCCATATTGATGTTAACACCTTGAGACCATCTCAAGGGACGTTATAAAAATACAAGGAGAGCAGGAAAGAAGGGGGGGAAAAAACAGGTGCAAGGGTATTTTTGCGTTTGGCACCTGGTGTATCTTAGATAATCCTAGTTCTCAAGTATGTTGTTCGTAATAACGTTAATGTAGGTGGTTCAACATCTCACATCTTCGATTTGCTACATTATTTACAAGGCACCCCGCCCCACCCATCCTCTCCCTTTTAAAACATAAATTAAGCATTAAAAACCAAGTGAGGTGGGGTGAGGGGGAAACAAATCACATCAAGGACATCCATTCCGGGTGGTGGGGGGGCATATTTCAGTATCTATCACAAATGCATGAACATTTGGCCTGGGGGGGGGAGCGGGAGGGGGGAAGAGATCAAAAGCAATCCGGATCCTGCGCATAACAGAGAAAACTGTAAACATTTTATAGCTGCCTTTTTTTTTTAGGATCTGTGTTTTGTGCAAAAGTTGTTATGAGAAGTAAGGAAGTTCATGGCAGACAATGTTTTTTTTTTTTTAAATCTTGGTTAAGAAGGTGCTGCTTCTATAATGCACACACAGAAACACACAGACACACACACACACACACGAGAGAGAAAAAAAGGGGGCAGGGGGAGGAAAGGAAGAAGGAAGCAACAAGGAGAGACTTCGTAAGCATAAATTTATCTCCCATCAGTCCTGTGACCAACTCAAGGTTTAGTGTGACTTAAAAAAAACAAAAGCATTTCTGCAGGTGAGAGGATGTGCAAAGAGGACCTTCGTAGCCCACGTTGGCCAGCAAGCGGAAGTCTCCAAACACGTGAAAACCATATGAAAAAGCACCAGGGGGAGGTGAAGGAGGGGTGGGAACCCACAGATTCCCTCCCCCCCACCACACACAATTTGCTTAAGCAGATTTTCTGGCGTGAAATCCCTGCAGTTTTAAAAAAGCCTCGGAAGTCCTAACGTCGTCGTTCAGGTCTCTTCTCCCCTGCCCACACCCACCGCCACCATGTCGGGTCAATAATTCCATCCCATGAGATGGCTAACCCTGGCTTTCTCGGTCATTTTCCGTACCCTGCCCGACCTGGAAGTGCCAAGGTTCAGGGGATCCTCGGTGTGCATGAAAGTGTCATTGTCTGAATCGTCGTTGTACAACACGGTTCGCCGGCCTTCGTTCCGGGTTTTAATCCGAGGGGGCCGGCTGAACCGTCCGCCAAAGGCGTTCTCGTTGAAGCGTCCACCAAAAAGGTTCTCGAACTCGTCCTCGGCCATGCGGGGGCGCTTGGCCCGGGAGGCTCCTCTCCCTCGGCCTCTTCTGCCTCCTCTGCCTCCTCTTCGTCCCTGGCTGCATCCTCTTCCTCCCCGGCTGCCTCGGCCCCCTCGGTTCCACCTCCCCCATCGGCCCCAGCGCCCTCGCCTTCCGGTCCCTCTACCCTGCCAATTTTTTCTCCGCCTGCTGGAGAGGTTCCTGCGGATTTTCCTTTTCGGTTTCGCTTGTAGGGATTTGCTGTAGTCGTGGTCTCCGTCGATGTAGTCTTGATCTGTCCTAGAGCTGGATTCCGAATCCGAATCGGAGCCGCCTCTGCTTTCGGAACTGGAGCCCGAATGAGAGTCGCCGCTTTCGGAGGATAAACCGGCCTTCTCTTTTGGTTCTCTCTTCTCTTGGCTGCCCTCGTCCTCCTCTTCAGAGGCACTGGAAATCTTTCTCTTGACTCCCGTTCGAGAGTCTTTCCCGTCCCCGTTGGTCAGAAGCTTCTCAGAAGGCTGATCTAGAAGAGATCCAAATTGAAGCACAGGTGAATGCGAATGCCGAGTTATCACCGATAAGTAGCACATTGGTGAGAAACCCCCCCAAACTATGTGAACTATTTTACTCACTAAGTTTGCTAAGCAGACGGTCACATGGTGTCTGAATAGATCAGGGGTATCAAACTCGATTTCATTGAGGGCTGCATCAGGGTTGTGTTTTGACCTCAGGGGCTGGGGTGGGTGTGGCCAACTTGACATCATGTCAACTAAAAAAATACTCCTTTGGTCTTTTTAGTTGCCAGCAGAAATGGAGTGGGGGAAAGCAGTGCATTCCTTAAATGCCTCAGATAATCGCCTTGGCAGCCCAAAGCTGTCAGCGTGCAAGAATATTACTGGAGAGCATGATTGATGACTCTTGGCTTTGGATGTGTCCCATTGGAGAATATACATCCAGGGGGTGGGGGGAAGACCAGGGTCAAGGGGGAAATGAATGATATATTTTAGTGTCGGCTGCACCCAGCTAACGCCAACATGGTCACTCCTAATAAGTCAATTTTTTGACTCTGAGAGATGTGGCTAGAGACTTATGATTTGAGTGGGGGTGGATTTCTTGGAGCCCCGACACATCACTTATTTCGGGGCCATCTGTGGTTGCCTGGGTGCTCTGCCAGAGAAAATGGGTTCCCGAGCTCCATCTTCAGCCGCGGCGGCCTCCTGCCTCCCTCTGCCAGGAAAAATGAAGCTCAGGGGAGGCTGTACACGGCCCCCCTGAGCTGCGTGTTCCCTGGCAGAGGGAGGCAGGAGGCTGTTGTGGCCAAAACCGAGCCTGGGAACGGCCACATGCAGCCCTCCCGAGCTCTGTTTTCGCTGGCAGAGGCACTGTGAGCTGGTCTTTTGCTTCTTTCTAGGGCGGCCCCGCAGGCTAGATCTAAGCACCCCGCGGGCCGGATCTGTCCCTCAGGCCTTGAGTTTGACACCCCTGGAATAAATCCACCCACAATGTATATTGGGGTAGAGAAAAACCAGCCCAGAATATCTCTGCAATAGCGGGATGCTGCATTTTTGTAGGGATGCAAAATGATATACATCTATGTGTTTCCAACCATCTCACGGGCTTAGCATCAACATAGCATGCCATTTCTAGATTCATATTCTTGAGGCTGCTTCAGGGGGAAGTCCCTGCTAATCCCTTCCAGAGTCCCCCATAGGCTACCACATTATTATAGCAGACAGAAACAAAGGAGAAAGAGAGAGAAAGAGAGGGGGGGGGAGAGAGAGAGAGAGAGAAAAAACCCTGAATTACTTCTAATTTAGGGCAGTGTTTCTCAACCGTAGCAGCTTACAAGATGTGTGAGCTTCAATTCCCAGAATTCCCCAGCCAGCAGTACGCAGAACTTAAAGCCTGTTGCTTAGGGAATTCTGGGAGTTGAAGTCCACACATCTTAAGGTTGCTAAGGCTGAGAGGCACCAATTCATAAGAGTTTATGTGGAAAGGTTCATCAACAAAAGGAAAATCCATTTATAATGGGTCATGGGGGGGAGGGGGGAGGAAGAGACAAGCTTTGATTTCTGCAGTTTTCCTACCTTGTTTCACTGGTGTGGATTTATTTCTAACCGGCTTATTTTTTCCTGCTTCAACATCGTTTCCGCTACGATTCTGGCTGCTGTTGGAGCCAGAGGAGGAGGAGGGTTGCCTTTCCATGTCTTCGGCAGTAGCTGAACCAGGGGCTTCCTCTGTATCTGAAACTGAAGAGCCGTGGTGGCGCAGTGGTTAGAATGCAGTACTGCAGGTGACTTCTGCTGCTGGCTGCCAGCAGTTTGATCCTGACCCAGCTAAAGGTTGACTCAACTTTCCATCCTTCCAAGGTGGGTAAAATGAGGACCCAGATTGTTGGGGGCAAGAGGCTGACTCTGTAAATGGCTTAGAGAGTGCTGTAAAGCACTGTAAAGCAGTATATAAGTCTGAGTCCTATTGTTATTTTCCTTCCTTCCTTCCTTCCTTCCTTCCTTCCTTCCTTCCTTCCTTCCTTCCCTCCCTCCCTCCCTCCCTCCCTCCCGGTGGTTAGAATGCAATATTGTAGGCTGACTCTGCCCACCACCAGCAGTTCGATCCTGACCGGCTCAAGGTCGACTCAGCCTTCCATCCTTCTCAGGTCCGTAAAATGAGAACCCAGATTGGTGGAGGCGAGAGGCCGACTCTGTAAACCGCTTAGAAAATTTTGCAACAGCACTGTGGAGCGCTGTATAAGTCTATGGCTATTTCCCCGCTTGGGGAAAAATATCAAATAAAAACAAAGCTTCAGTCTAAATCCTAGATAGAAAGGTTTTTTTTTTCAAAGCAAAAGCCATTAGCAGGGGACACTCTATATTGTTCAAGGCAGTGAACTCTCTGATGCTTAACATTGGCCTGCAACAGTTTATTGATTTGGTCACTTTCTTCTAATTACAGGTAGTCCTCGATTATTGACCGGTTGTTTTACAACCGTTCATTCTTACAATGGCCACGGAAAGAGAGCTTTACGGCCCTTAAAACATCCCTGGTCATTATAAAAGGTTGCGTTGTCTCCCCTCAGACACATGACATGTTGGGTGGGTCAGTTTTACAAGCAATTTTATGATTCATGCTTTTTGCTGAGTAAAGGTAAAGATTCCCCTACGTGCTGATCGTTTCCGACTCTAGGGGGTGGTGCTCATCTCTGTTACAAAACTGAAGAGCCAGCGCTGTCCGAAGACGTCTCCGTGGTCATGTGGCTGGCATGACTAAATGCCAAAGGCGCATGGAACGCTGTTCCCTTCCCACCAAAAGGGTCCCTATTTTTCTACTTGCATTTTTACCGTGCTTTCGAACCGTTAGGTTGGCAGAAGCTGGGACAAGTAACAGGAGCTCACTCCATTATGCGGTGTTAGGGATTCGAACCGCCAACTGCCGACCTTTCTGATTGACAAGCTCAGTGTCTAAGCCACTGAGCCCCCACATCCCATATGCTGAGTTAAGAGGCAAAAAAAAAAAAAGCCCATTTAAATGAATGGTCCCTGGGGGAGGTAATTTATGGCCACACTGAAGCCTATTGATCCCAAATACACTCCTATATCAATTTCTAGGGTAACACAGAGCATCCTTGAAAATAAGATATTTACTGAGCTGAATTGAATCCAGCTTGCTGGAGTAAAAGTTTATGGCACAGCCACTTGAAACACGTTTTTAATTTATAGTAAAATGGTTTGCCTTCCAGAGTCCCTTGCCAAAGATGGGTGGCTCTACAAATGGATTGACTGATTCACTGAATGAATATATGAACCAACTAATCCTACTTACCATGAGATGAAACTGAAGAATTAGTCCTAGTTAAAGGCAGTGAGGTATTCAAGTTTGTTTTAGGCTGCATCTTCAGTTGTTTTTGTTTTCCTTTTGGGCTGAAGGCATGGAAAGAAGGAAAAGAAATTGAGCAAGATATTTTTTTCCCAATACCTAGATACTGGGTTAATCACGGGGAGCTATCTGCAGGTTTTTTCTTTCAGTTAAACACTGTTTAGGCCCTTCTTTTCCTTTTTTTTTCCACCTGTCAAAGTCTGGCCTACGTCTGATCTGCAGATCTTATTCTCTGCTACATCCTTCATTGCATAATGCATTGTGGGGGTCTTACAAAACTGCTTTCTCCTTTCCAAATCTTCCCATTGATTTTCTTGTGGGTGCAGAATGACCAGTACGGTGGATTGATGGCCACAATTAAGAAAAAAGGGGGACACCTAACATAGAATAAAATAATGAAATGAAGAAAGAGTAGAATAATGAAATGAAGAAAGAAGAGAATAGAATAATGAAATGACGAAAGAAGAGAATAGAATAATGAAATGAAGAAAGAGTAGAATAATGAAATGAAGAAAGAGTAGAATAATGAAATGAAGAAAGAATAGAATAGAGAAATGAAAGAATAGAATGATGAAATGAAGAATAGAATAGAGGAGAATAGAGAATAAAGAATAAGAATAATAGAACAAGAATAGAATAAGAATAATACCGTGTTTCTCATATAATAAGGCCGGGTCTTATTTTTTTTTGAGCCCCGAAAAAATGGCTAGGCCATCTTTTTGGGGGTGACTTAATTCCCACCCCTTGCATCTTCAGGCGGGCGGGCAGCGATGGCTTGGATGTTGGCCTCGGCATTGGTGGGGCACTTCATATTGGGTTCAACGCAGGCAGCACCATATCTGGGTGTGCAACAAAAGTACTTCCTAACGGCAAGCCCCCCCACCATTCCCCCCCCATTTTGCATGTTTTAATATAGGCCTTAATTTGGGGGGAGGGGCTTAATTTCATTTCATGCCTATAAAACATGCTGGGACTTCCTATTGGGGGAGGCCGTATTGTTGGAGAAACAGGGTAGGAGAGGACAGGACAGGACAGGAGAGGATAGAGGAGAGTAGAATAGGAATAACAGAATAGAATAATAGAATAGGCTAGGCAGGAGACAACAGGACAGGATAGAACAAAATAGAACGGAACACTTTATTTGGTAAAGTGTGATTAGACACTCAAGGAATTTTTTTCCTGGTGTAGCTGCTCTCAGTGTACATGCAAAATGACAGAGTAATAGTAATCATAAGATGATACCCATAAGAAGGGACAGTAGGGAAGATGAGAAAGATAGTAATAATATAAGCAGAATTTCACATGCAACAAACCCGTCTTGCTACCTTGGTGTTCTGCTGCTAGAGGAAGAAGAACCGCTGCTGCTACTTCGGAGCCGTTTTCGGTACCGTAATCGCGGCCTTCGCCTCTTCTGACACTGAACAGCTGACTTGTACTCGGAAATGATGGTCTTGATGTGGTTTTCGAATAAGGCAGAGAGTCGGAGTGTCATGCTATAGATCTGTGGAAGGAAGGAAAGAACATTTGCATTCAAGAGTGATGTCGACCAAAACGTTTGCCAACCTTACATTGGTTTGCTTGTTACCCATGTTCCAGTAGAAGCTAATTCCTCAAGTATATCCAAAGAATTGCATGGATTCAGTCAAAACATTAGAGGAACAGAGGTGTTTTCAATGGGGTGAAAAAACTTAAAAATATGCAACCCAACAAGAAAAGAATCCTTTAGCTAGAACACCTGACCTGGGGTGCTCACATTGCAGCCCTGGTCAAAAGGGCCCAGCAGAGATTATACAACCTGAGACTTCTCAGAAAATTACGACTGAATGAAAAACTGCTGGTGACCTTCTACTGCTGCACCATAGAGAGCATTTTAACTCACTGTACCTGTGTATGGTTTGCCAATTGCACAGTGGCAGATAGGAAAGCACTCCAGAGGGTTAATGTCATTGTCCAAAAGATCATGGGTTGCCCTCTCCCCTCTTTGGAAGAGCTTTATAGCTCCTGCTGCCTTAAGAAAGTTCAAAACATTCTCAAAGATCCATCTCATCCTGGACAGCCTTTTTTTGAACTATTACCATCTGGCAGATGGTACAGGATAATAATAAAAACAAGGACAAATAGGCTGAAAAACAGCTTCTATCCCAGGAAAGTAGCTCTTTAGAATTCTACTGTATAGTGCAGTGTTGGTGTGGTGTTGGGGGTTTTCGGTTCAATGTGGGGAGTGTGAAGGATGTGTGTTTGTGTTTATTTTCATGGTCATGATGTGCACTGAAGATGGTGTTTGATTTTGTTGTACGAGGTGCAATGACAAAAAAGTAAAAGTAAAGTAAAAGTAAAGTAAAAGTAAAGTAAAAGTAAAGTAAAAGTAAAGTAAAGTAAAAGTAAAGTAAAAGTAAAGTAAAAGTAAAGTAAAAGTAAAGTAAAAGTAAAGTAAAAGTAAAGTAAAAGATAAAGGTAAAGGTAAAGTAAACTGATATTGGCAATGCATTTTTTAGACTTATTACAGAAAATCCTCAATTTACAACAATTAGGACCAACATTTCTGTCGTAAAGCAGATCAACAGAGTTGGAAGGGACCTTGTAGGTCTTCTAGTCCAACCTTGCCCCCCTCCCCACCCAAGCAGGAGACCCTACACGATTTCTGACAGATGGCAGTCCAGCCTCTTCTTGAAAGCCTCCAGAAAGCTTTATTTTATCATGGTTGTTCAGCTTCATTTTGTCAGAAACTGGCTGGGAAGGTTGGAAATTATAATCACCTGATTGCAGGATGCTGTAACTGGTTGTAAGCTGTATCTAAGTCTAAGTGCTATTGCTATTGTATAATAGTTATTGGCAAACATGTTTTTGCCAAGAGGGCACCCCATCAGAAGCTAAGGTGATGATGTAAAGCAGGGGTATTGCTGGCTGAGGAATTCTGGGAGTTGCAGTCCACAAGTCTTAAAGTTGCCAAGGTTGGAGACCCCTGATATAAAGAACAGATTTAAGAGGATTGGTTAAAAAAAGGCTCTACCTGAAATGAAGGAAACCGGCAACTGTTTTCGGGTAAGCTCTGAATTTTAAACCATGACACTATTTAGAATCTGCAGGATTCTGGGTGTTTTGTTAAATGTGCATCTTAGGCAGGAGATAAATAGAATAAGCTATTGGTTACATCTTACCCTTGATTTCTTATTTGGAGTGTACGCCTTGGAGTTGTAGAATATCAAGCGGACGTCTTTGTAGAATTCGAGAGGGTTCATATAATTCCCTGCTTCCAAAGTTTCTTTCACAGTGCTGAAATCCATGGGAGTGTCCACAATATCTCGATAATCCTAAGAAGAATGTTTTTCCACCTATGAAACCTTCAAAATCTAACAAAGCGATCTGAAGGACATGCTTATTAACCCAACATCTATTTATTCACCCGGTCTAATGAAGGAGAGGCCCTGCCTCACATTTTTCATCCCTGAAAGGATGTTAAAGGAAGGAAGGAAGGCTATTAAAACTTACTTCCCCTAAGTCTCGTGGAACATTCTTACTCCAAAATGTACTTCAAGCCCAAAAATGTGCCAGGTGCTTTGCCCGCCCTGGGTTAGTGGATGGATAGGCCAAACTCTGGGTGGAAAGAGCCTCAGGGACAAGATTGCACCTGCTTCAGGCAGTGTTCTGACCCAAGCCTCGTTCAAATCAAATAAACACAAAGTATATATAAAAGCAAATCTTTTTAATGCGTCTCTTGTGAATGCTGTTCATTCACAGCAAAGAGTCATTAAAACTAATTGCCCCAGATAAGAGCAAGCCCTTTCAAGGTTACGAAAGGCTGCCAGGAATACAAGATTAACTGCAGAGAAATATTCCAAACCAAAAATCTCCAAACACAAACCAGAACAGACAGGACTTCCACGAGAACTTGGGAGTTGAAAGAACTTCTTTGCTTCCTGCAAAGAAGCCAACCCCGAAGGCTGGCTTTTATCCCTTATGGGAGGAGCCATCACCTTGCAGCCTTACTCCCGAGTTGCCCCGTGCTGCTTCAGCTGCTCTTTCCTTCGAGCAGCCCTGCACGTACGCACACTGAGCACAGGCTCCCCTGGGTCCTCACTGCTGCTAGACTCTACAACCTCTGAAGGCAGCACTCCATTCTCCGATAACGATAGTACTCCGAAAGCAGCACCATCCCTGCATCACATGCAGGCCCCTCATCCGAGTCCTCGCTCTCAGAGACCTCAGCCGTCCACACCTGCTGCCGCCAAACCACAACAGCAGTTGTATGACTCGGCCTCCCAAACTCAGAAAAAAAAAGCAAGACTTACAGGGTAAGAAAAGAGATCAACAGGTTGTCGGAATGGCTCTGAGTCTTCACGCTCATAGATCAGACTTAATAATTGCTTGCAGTGGTTTTTCCAGGCATCGACGCATCCTTTAGAGGGTTGCCGTTTCATTTGCCGTTTGACCTTAAGATTAAAAAAAAAAAAAAAGAACATATAAATTGAATAATCTCTAAAATGTTTGTTTTCATCTCATTTAACACAGGCACCAAGTATCCAGAATAGCAGTACCACAAATGTGCTCTTTTTTTTTTTTTAAAGAAAGAGATATGCGCGTAAGATAGCTAACTTTTTATGGAGTTTTTTTACAGGAAACCCCCCCACCCCACCCCAACTAGTTAGAACTTCTCAAGTTGATTTCTATTCCTCGTAAGTTACCTCTACAAAATTCTATGTATATTAGTTGAAATCATGAAACTTCTATTACGGCCAAAGACCGGGGTTTAACAATACTATATGAGAGAGTATAGAATTATAAAACTATAATAGAAAACAAAAGAAGAATTAGGGGGTGACATGATAGCAGTATTCCAGTATTTGAGGGGCTGCCACAAAGAAGAGGGGGTCAAATTATTCTCCAAAGCACCAGAGGGCAGGACAAGAAACAATGGATGGAAACTAATCAAGGAGAGAAGCAACCTGGGATGAAGGAGAAACTTCTTAACAGTGAGGACAATTAACCAGTGGAACAGCTGGCCACCAGAAATTGTGGGCGCTCCATCACTGGAGGTTTTTAAGAAGAGATTGAACAGCCACTTGTCTGAAATGGTATAGGTTCTCCTGCTTGAGCAGGGGGGTGGACTAGAAGACCTCCAAGGTCCCTTCCAGCTCTATTCTATTCTACATAACATATGGGGAAAATAGGTATACAAGACCCATTACAGGGTATCCATTTCTAAGTAAGAATAAGATTAAAATATGGTTAAAATGTATATTTTACAAATACATTTGTATACATATGAATACACACACACACACGGATATGAAAATTCGGTCTTGTTTAGCAGCCATTCACAGTTATGACCGTGATGAAAAAGTAACTTTACAACCAATCCTCTCATTTATGACCTACATAGGTCTATACAAGAAAGGAAAGATGAAGTAAGATCATTAGCACGGTCACAATTTCATGTAAAGACCACTTTGTATAACAACTGGGTTGTGGGTCCCAACTGTGGTTGCTAAATGAGGACTACCTGTATAGAAAGCAGGTAAAGACAACTACTAGTCAGACATTCCCCACAGTGGTCAGGACCAGGTGGATTAAGGCTCTTGCATCCACTGGATTAAGGCTCTTCACTCAATATCTGCTCACAAATTTAGCATCGTATCCCAGGCGAGCGGAGTTGTCAGAGTTGTGCACGAAGTTCCCTCTTCTACACTCAATAATCCTAACTCAGTTTAAGATTTCCTTTGCCAATAAAACCGATCTCCCAATCAGTTAAATGCTGGCTGGCAAGCCAAGTTCTGATCTTATACTATTCATCAGGGGAAGGAGGGCAGGAAGATTTATTCTAGAAAGGAAACAGGAACATGTTTTTTAACGTGTGGCTTCTTGTCTCCACCTTTTTCTTGGTGCTCAATTCTGAATGCTGCTTCTACTTCTGTCAATATTTGGGGGGAAATCCTGCAATGGCCCAGGAACAGAATGCATTTGTGTCAACCCTGAAGCTGGCCTGGACGAAGCCTTTTTGTCCACTTCAGTGTTGCTAGACTGGAGCTGAGGGACAAGGGAGAGGGGATTTTAGATAAGAGGGGATTTTATAGCCAAAACATAATACTTTATCTTGGGAACCAAGGACATTCTCATACCTGGTTGGAAGAAGGCGGAGAGATGCCACCCGATTGTTGGACTGCACATGTCAGGGCTCCAAGAAATCCACCCCCCATTCAAATCATAAGCATCTAGCTGCATCTCTCAGTGTAAAAAAAATTGATTTATTAGAAGTGACCATGTCGGCGTTAGCTGGGTGCAGCCGACACTAAAATACACCATTCATTTCCCCCTGGAAACTGGTCTTCCCCCCACCCCTGGATGTATATTCTCCAATGGGACACATCCATAGCCAAGAGTCATCAATCATGCTCTCCGGTAATATTCTTGCATGCTGACAGCTTTGGGCTGCCTAATTATCTAGCAATTATCTGAAGCATTTCAGGAATGCACTACTTTCCCCTACTCCCTTTCTGCTGGCAACTAAAAAGACCAAAGAAGTTTTTTTTTTTTTTTAGTTGACAGCAGGGTGATTGGACCATATGACTGTTTTGAGAAAGTAGAAAATCTTTTCCTTTTAATAAGCTCAAAAGCTATTAGTCAGTTTTCACCAGATATGTGCCTGCATGGTATTTCCAATAAAAGTATTCTTTGAAGAATTTGACTGCCTCGGAATATTGCTTGCCATGGGTTTATTAGTTGGAACCCTGACAATTTGTTCATGAAAATTGGACTTCGACTTTTTTTTTAAAGGAAGAGAAAGAAAGCTTGGTTTTCTAACTTAAGAAGCGTTATATCACAAGGAGAAATCAAGGGGATTTGGGATGGCCACACACACATATCAATCAAAGTGGTTTTTTGGGGGGGGAGAAAATAAGTGCACAGCTAGGCTTGAAATATTACTCTTTTCAAGATTACTCTTGTTACTTACTATTCGTTTTCCAGAGGAAGTTCCAGGGCCCTCTGAATCAGCAGATGCTTCTACCACCTACAGCAAAATGTGATTACTACATGAGAGCATCTGAAATAAATGAATTCAAAATACATGCCACACATGTACACACACACTCCTGAAAATTATGGCCTCGGGCAAGATCTTAACATCGGTGAGGTCACAAATCAGTCCTGGGCTTTTTGAAGGGGAAGAGAAAAGCTAGTTCTGGAGTTTTCTTGGGCAGGTTTTTCAGAAGTGGTTTGACACTGCCTCCTTCCTAGAACCCGAACTTCTGGGTTTCCCCCCCAAATTCACTTCCAGTCCAAACCAATCCACACACCCCTCCCCATTTTTTTCCATTTTACCTGTTCTTCTTCCTCTATGCTACTCAAGTCTTCTGCTTTTACTTTATTGTAGATCTCCAGAATATCCGTACAACTCTGATCCCTAAAGAATAGGAAGAGGATTGGCATGAGGGTGAAATAAGAGATTTTTAAAACAAAATAAAATCTACTCCCTAAAGGTTATTATGGTCGCTGATTCCTAGAGCAAAGATTCCATTAAATCAGGGGTCTTCTTGACAGCTTTAAGACTTCTGGACTTCAACTCCCAGAATTCCTCCTCCAGTCATGTTAGCGCAGGAATTCTGGGAGTTGAAGTCCAGAAGTCTTAAACTTGCCAAGTTTGAAGACCCTTGATAGACAGACAGACAGACAGACAGACAGACAGACAGACAAGATAAGATAGATAAGATAGATAAGATAGATCGATCGATCACGGGCCTTCAAACTTGACAGCTTTAAGACTTCTGGACTTCAACTCCCAGAATTCTTCCTCCAGTCATGTTAGCGCAGGAATTCTGGGAGTTGAAGTCCAGAAGTCTTAAACTTGCCAAGTTTGAAGACCCTTGATATAGATAGACAGACAGATAAGATAGATAAGATAGATAAGATAGATAAGATAGATAAGATAGATAAGATAGATAAGATAGATAGATCGATCACAGGCCTTCAAACTTGACAGCTTTAAGACTTGTGGACTTCCACTCCCAGAATTCCTCCTCCAGTCATGTTAGCTCAGGAATTCTGGGAGTGGAAGTCCACAAGTCTTAAACTTGCCAAGTTTGAAGACCCTTGCATTAAATGTTCATGGATTGCCTAGTAGAATTTCTATCGTAGGAGGAAATTTTCCATGTGCCTTTAAAAAAAAAAACGTTATCAAGAGACGTGCACACATAATGAAACAGGGGAGGAAAAAATCCGATTCCAGGAAAGTTTTCAGAAAAGTATTTCCTTCAACCGCAGGGAAACTGACTGCTCACCCAATGTAGTGCAGTAAAACATCGGTGACGATTTTGGCTGCCTTGACGATAGGGCTTTCGGGCTCATTGAAAGTCCTTGCGTTGTGTTCGATGTATCGTACCTCCCACATTAATGCTGATATTCTCCTGGAAAAAGGAGAGAAGACAAGAGGATCTCTTCTGATTATCTAGGCAACTGAAAAAGTGTTGGAGAAGATAAGCTGCACATGGGTTCTGCACGAGGTGTTTTAAGAGCAACTCCATTTAAAAAAAAAGGTTTTTAATAAGAACAACTATGTGTGATTGGTGTTCTGACCTAGGCTTCACCAAAATCACGAAGCAGACTTCTTGTCCCGACAAAAAACCCTTTTTATTAGGCTAATGTGAATTCCTCTCATTCACATCCAGCAAAGTCCCGGCAAATAGTCTTTCAAGGGTGAATTGCAACCACAGACCTTATCAGGCTTGGAGAGTTGCCAGGCCGATAGCCAATGCTGTACAAGAAAATACTTGGAAAGGAGTCACGAACAAATCTAATTAAACAAATTTTCTTCTGTAAACACCCCTCTCCTTTTGCTCCTCTTTATTCTCTATGGGAGGCGGGCATTCACTGTCCACCTGTGGCTTTACTCTCGAGTCGACCCTTATTCCTTAACTGTTCCCTTCTCCTGGCAGCTCTGTGCATGCACACATCGGGAACAGGCTCCAGCTGTTCTTCTGCCACACTGACCTCCGACTTCGAAGGCAGCTGATAATTGTTGGATGGCCCTAGCCTCATCTCTGCCTCCGACATAGAACACTCGTCAGAGCCTTCCCCAGACTCCAGGACTGGCCCATGTTCCTCCCCAACCTCCTATGAAAGCGTTCTGGTCCAAAATAACATCAGGCAGAGTCCTGGGCCCCAATCCTTTCAAGAAAGCCCTGAACTTCAGGATGGCATGCCAAAAGTGACTGTTAATCGTTAGACTGAAGATATTCATGGTTGTTAGTTAATTAAAATAGTTTTGTTTTGAATGAGCTTTGGTGGACTGCAAAACCTATTTATAAATATAGAAAACACTTGGCTACTGAAAGTCACACACCCTGAGCCCAGACTTGAAAATTTTAAATTAAAAAATTTAAAAAAAAACTTTGTGTTTGCTAGCAAATTAGTCTGCCCCATCAGAAGAACTACGGTTCTCTTATTTAAAAAAAATCACTAGAAGACGTTGCAGCAGCAGAAGCTTAGCATAAAACCAAACAATGAGAAACTCTTTTATGTATGAGCGACCGTTAATCCAACCTGTAAAATCTGTTTTCAAGTCTTCTCCTTATCGTGGTGAGGTCAGTTGGATAAGCAACAACAGTGCAATACAGAGGATAGGCACTCAGGTCCACTGGAACTGCAAAGGGATTAGAAATCTCTGCCAAAATAAAAATAAAGTGAACTGAATAAAACTTTTAAGAAAAAGGGTAGAAGCTCGTGCGTTTAGGGGGGAAACCCCTCTCTGATCATTAATGTGAAGTTTTAATTTATATAAATATTCCTCTAAGCCCTAATATCAGGTAGAATAGAATACTTTATTGGCCAAGTGTGATTGGACACACAAGGAATTTGTCTTGGTGTAAATACTCTCAGTATACATAAAGAAAAGGTACATTCATTAAGAATCAGGAATCATAACGTACAACATTTAATGATGATGATGATGCCAAGACAGTCTCCTAATTCAAATGCTGACAAGGAAGAATATTAGATTTGTTCTGTTCATGTTATAATGTTGCAGCCAGCCCTGCAGGCCTAGAAAGTTGATTATTTTTTATGTTTTGAAAGATGATTCCAAGGAATTACAAACAGGAATAACAGATGCCTCTTTAACGTATTGCAATTGATAAGAGTCATTTTCTTTTTCTTTCTTTCTTTCTTTCTTTCTTTCTTTCTTTCTTTCTTTCTTTCTTTCTTTCTTTCTTTCTTTCTTTCTTTCTTTCTTTCTTTCCTTTCTTTCTTTCTTTCTTTCTTTTCTTTCTTTTCCTTCCTTCCTTCCTTCCTCCCTCCCTCCCTCTTTCTCCCCCCCTCTCCCCCCTCTTCATTTATTAAATTTATATGCACCCATCTCTCTTCCCAAAGCGACCCTGGATAGCTTAACAATTAAGAATTAATAATTCTGTTGATTCTAGCCCCAACAGAGGCAATAGGTGTCTACTCATAAAATATGGTCTTTTAGAGTTGCCAACTGAAAAGGAGGGGGAAGCAGTGTGACAGCTTGCAACCAAAACTGCATTCCATAAATGTTTTCATGTGACCGAAGTTTCTGCCAGGCAAAATTCTAACTGGAGAGCATGATTGATGACTCTTGGCTATGGATGTGTCTCATTGGAGAATATGAATTACGATACACCCAGGGGGTGGAGGGAAAACCAGGGTCAAGGGTAACAATGAATGATGCGTCTCAGAGTCGGTTACAGCCAGGCAGTGCCGGACATGTTTACTCCTAATAAATCTTCTTTTAAGTTTTGGAAGTTTGGCTCGAGACTCATGCTTTAAATGGGGGGGCAACTGCCGGAATCCTGACAATAGGACAAATCCAGACCTTATGAGTTAATGTTGCCCTACCTAGAGAAAGAAGTTGATCGATGCCTCTGAGAACCCGCACACATTCTTCATCTCGGGAATGGGAGCCCCATTCTCCTTCCTGGGGCTTGTATAGCAGAGAGGCCAATTCCTCGCTGGTCACTGGGACTCCAGCCCCCACCTCATCTGGATAAGCAGCTGCAGGGGGAAGGGGGGCGGGAGAGAGGGAGTGACTTGGATGGATCAGGTTGCTGCATCACGGAGAGATATATCGTTATGAAGTGTCTAAAACAGCACTATCCATCTTTCATTTAAGGCATTCTCTGCAAAATGCACCCCAAAACAAAACCTGGGTATGGCTGTAATATATATCCCAGTTCTATTTTGCAGCTCATGATTACGGCAACAGATTTCAAGGCAATCAATCAACATTCTTATAAAATTGATAGAATAGTACAGGTAGTCCTCGACTTACAAGCACAACTGAGCCCCAAATTTCTGTTGCTAAGCGAGACATTTGTTAAATGAATTTTTCCCATTGTTCCTGCCCCTGTTATTAAGTGAATCACTGCAGCTGTTAAATTAAGCGACTGTTCTGACCCAAACCCTTTTCCAATAAAAGAAACACGAACCAAAGCGAACAGAAACCTTTTAATGATCCTTACAAATCCCCGGTTTAAAAGGCTGCTGCAAACTAATTAACTTTGATAAGCACAAGCCTCGCCAAAACTGTGAGAGGCTGCCAAGAATAACAGATAAGAAATACTGTATTTTACAACACAAGGGTCTTCAAATACCAACTTAAGATGCAGTGTACTGCAGTGTCCACGAGGCTGGAGATTCAAAACCTCTTTGCCTTCTGCAAAGAATGTCGGATTCACAGCTGGCTTTTATCTTTTTGAAGGAGGGGCCATTACCTTGCAGCCTTACTCCCGAGTTGCCCGTGCTGCTGCAGCTGCTTTTTCCTCTGAGCAGCCCTGCATGCATGAGCACTTGGCACAGGCTCCTCGGGAACCTCCTCATCGCTGCTGCCAGCCCCCACAATCTCTGAAGGCAGCAGTCCACTCCCTAATGGTCCTGGCCCCTCATCTGAGTCCTCGCTCTCCTCAGCCATCCATATCTGCTACCAGCTCACCACAACACTGACACGGGGGAACAGACCTGATCTACCAAATGAAAACCTGAATGTCATATAAAGTCTGTGTATTTTAGTTGAGGCCCCGATCTAAGTGATTTTTAAATCTTGTAGTTTGGGGGGCACAGTGTTTGTTGGAGTTGTTCTTATTATTTATTTACTTATTAAATGTCTAGGCCACCCATTTTACCATCAGAGCCATTTTTTTAAAAAAAAATATTCCTATTGCAATGGCTGTCGTGGGATCTCAGTCACTGAAATAATTCTGGATTGTATAGAATGGGCTATTTGTCACCATCCTGAATGTAAACAAAAGGATCCAATTCCAAATTGGGTGGGGGCCAGGGACAATCCTTTCCCCCCACCCCAGGAAAGGCCTGGTTCCAGGGTCTCTGCAAATGTGTTTCTTCCTCCTGATCATGTTCTATGTCTGAGCCACGGTGGCGCAGTGGTTAGAGTGCAGAACTGCAGGCTACTTCTGCTGCCTGCCGGCTGCCTGTAATGTACAGTTCGAATCTCACCAGGCTCAAGGTTGACTCAGCCTTCTATCCTTCCAAGATCGGTAAAATGAGGATCCAGATTGTTGGGGGGAAAAGACTGACTCTGTAAACTGCTTAGAGAGGACTGTAAAGTGATATATAAGTGCTATTGCTATTGCTACTTTGACTTTCTCCTGTATTCTTCAAATGTATCCTGTACAGCATGGGTGTCAAAGTCACATCACATTGCCGTCACATGACATTTTGTGACGTTTTTCCCCTTCGTTGGAGTAGGTTTGGCCTGCACGTGACACATCCGGCCCGCATGCTGCCAGTTTGACGCCCCTAAAAAGGTAAAGGTTCCCCTTGCACCTACATGCTAGTTGTTTCTGGCTCTAGGGCCTTCTTCTGACTCATCTCCGTTACAAAGCCGAAGAGCCAGCACTGTCCGAAGACGTCTCCATGGTCATGTGGCCAGCAGGACTAAATGCTGAAGGCGCACAGAACGCTGTTACCTTCCCACTAAAGGTGGTCCCTATTTTTCTACTTGCATTTTTTACATGCTTACGAACTGCTAGGTTGGCAGAAGCTGGGACAAGTAACGGGAGCTCACTCCCTTACACGACACTAGGGATTCGAACCGCCGAACTGCTGACCTTTTTCTGATCGACAAGCTCAGAGTCTTAGCCACTGAGCCACCATGTCCCTTGTTTGTACAAACAATACACCCCTGCTGTAGAGTAATTGTTCTTAGTTTTACTATGCTGCTTTAAAAGAGACTGTATAAACTGAAGGTAGCTCATGCAGTCAAGTTAAACATTATTGTCATTTTAATTTGTATCTTATTTCTGTATAAGTTACTTAAAACTGGTTAATGAAATGAAGTCGTTTCAGTTCAATTCAAATTGAATTCTTTTTGATGTAAAGGCTTGGAAAAACAGAGTCCAATTTGATTTATAATGCTGATGTAATATTTTGCCGTTATAAAAAAAATAATCTCTATCAAAGGAAGGAGGTAGAAAACAATCATTATTTACTTCCTTCTGGAATTGGCTCCATGTCCCAGGGGCTCATATTTTCTCTTTCGTTGTTGTCCCAGCTGTAAAATAATAACAATAACAACAACAATAAAACATCTCAGAAATAGCTTAGTCAAGTTAAGAGACTTTTGGGGAAATTTTCTTGCTCTGCAAATCTTGGCGAGATCCAGTTCGTTTTTTTAATCAGTTTGTCCTCTCTACCCCCATCCCACTAATTTTTTTCCCATTTTGTCTATTCTGCCAATAAAATCCTAAATCAACATACATAATTCATTTCCAGCTTTCCACTGCGTGGCAGAGACTAAAATGAAACATAAAAATCAGGTTTTCATGGCACTTGAGCAGAAATCTTGTATTTTAAGAAATGGGATGCAAATATTTCAAAACCAGCAGATTATCAATGCTCATGATTACTTAATTTATGTACAAAAACTTGTTTCTTTCTGGGTTTTTTTCTTCTTCTTTTGCACTAAAATTCCAACATTCATCCTTACTGAACACTGTAGCACTGGAAGGAACTGTCTGGATATTCCGCTTGGAATGGCTGTTGACTCTCTACGGTTCCAAACCACCATGCATCATCAATTATGCTGCGAAATCTATCCCCTGCAATGAGAAAGGCAGAGAAAACAAAGTAATACCTGCAGAGGCCTGTAAAATAACAGAATGACAGGAGTTGGAAGGGATCATAGAAGGTCTTCTAGTCCTACCCGTTCAAGCCCTATACCATTCTGGACCCATCTCTTCTTAAAAAACTCCAGCGATGGAGCGCCCACAACTTCTGAAGGCCACCCGTTATCAGAATCCATGTTTTTTTGGGTATCAACCTTTTGAATGGCAACAGCGGTTTTAGAATGATTTGGTTCTGAAACCACTGTTCTGCTCATCCAAATGAATGCAGAATATAAGTATCTTGCAAGATTTGTTTTTCTTGCCGTGGACATGTATAAAATTCAAACTAGACTGTGTTGTTTCTCCATGTCATATAATATCTGTGGCTACATGCATAATTTTGTATATGTATGCATGCATGCATGCATCTTATCATGTTTATGTTTATATTAGAGGTGGAGAGCTGTGTATGCAACGTAATTTCATTTTAATGTATGCCAATTAGTGTACATTCAAAGTGACAAATAATTCTATTCTATTCTATTCTATTCTATTCTTTCCTAATTTCATTCTATTCTATTCTATTCTATTCTATTCTATTCTATTCTATTCTATTCTATTCCATTCCATTCTATTCCATTCTTTCCTAATTCTATTCTATTCCATTCCATTCCATTCCATTCTTTCCTAATTCTATTCTATTC